AGGTTGTCTCTGTTTCTTTCTAGTGTTCGTTGCTTTCTGTATCACTTTCCTGTTCAAAGAGTCCCCTTTAATTTCTTGCAGAGCTGGTTTAGTTTTTACAAACTCCTTTATTTTTTGCTTGTTTTAGAAACTCTTTATCTCTCCTTCTATTCTGAATGACAGTCTTGCTAGACAAAGTATTTCCAGCTGCATATTTTTCCCATTTAGTAAGTTGAATATATCATGCCTGTCCTTTGTAGCTTGCCGGGTGTCTGTGGACAAGTCTGCTTCTAACCTTATGTGTCTACCCTTATAGGCTAAGGACTTTCTCTCCTGAGCTGTTTTCAGAATTCTCTCTTTATCTTTGTATTTTGCAAGTTTCACTATAATATGTCTTGGTGTTGACCTGTTTTTGTTGATTTTTGAGGGAAGTTCTCTGTGCCACTTGGACTAGAATGCCTGTTTCCTTCCCCTAGATTAGTTAAGTTCTCAGCTATAATTTGTTCAAATAAACCTTCTGCCCCCTTTTCCCACTCTTCTTTTTCTGGGACTCCTATGATACAGATATTTTTTCAATTTATGGAATCACTGAGTTCCCTAAGTCTTCCTTCATAATCTAGTAGTTTTATTTTCCTCTTTTTTCCAGCATTATTTTCTTTAATCTTATCTTCTGTATCACCTATTCATTCCTGTTTCTTCCATCTTCACTGTGATTATATTTAGCCTGTTTTGTATCTCAGTTATAGCATTTTTAATTTCAGCCCAACTAGCCTTAGGTCCTTTTATCTGTGCAGCAAGAGTCTCTTTGGTGTCTTCTATGCTTTTTTCAAGTCCATCTGGTAATCTTATAACTGTTGATTTAAATTCTTGTTTAGACATATTGCTTATATATGCTTTGAGCAAGTCCCTGGTTGTGGTATCTTCCTGACCTTTCTTTTGGGGAAAATTTCTCTGTCTTGTTATTTTGGCTCAGTTTCTGTCTTTTGTGAGTTATGAAAGCTTATTATGTTTCCTGTACCTGAGAGTAATGCTATATTAAAAAAGAGTCATACACTCTCCAAGGGCTGGCACTTCAGGAAGTGTTTCTAGGGTATGCTGTGTACACTCTGCTGTTGCATTTTGGCTGCTCTTTCCCACAGATCAGTCCTCTGCAGGGTTCCTCCTTGCTTGCAGGAGGTAGTGTTTGGACTTTAACCGGGTGTGCTTTGTTTGTTAAAATAAGCCTGGAAAAAAAAAGAAAGAGGAAAAAAATTTAAAAAGAAATCCTGATTCAAAAACAAAGAGAGAGAGAGAGAGAGAAAAGGAAAAGCAGCAATGACAACAAAAAACCCCAAAGAGACAAACAGAAGACTATAAGCCTGATTCCAAAGAAAAAGAAAGGGGCAAGAAAAAGAACAAGAAACATAAAAAAGGGAGCCTAATCCAGAAAAAGAGAAAAGAAAATAAAAAGACAAACTAACAGACAAAAACTATAAGCCTGATTCCAAAGGCGGAGGTGGGGGGAGGGAGGGAGAAGGAAGAAAAAAAAATTACAGCCTGGTTCTATTCCCATCAGAACTAAAGATGATGCTTTGAAGCCCTGTATAATCAGTAGACTTATGCATGCAGAGTGCTGCCTATGCTGGTCTTCTGGGGGAGAGGCCCACTCTGCCAGCTCAGAGTCAGTCCTGCCCCAGTAAATACGCACTTGCCACGTAGAGGGAAGCAGGATTTGGTGTAAGTAGCTCCTGCCTCTACTGGCTCTGCCTATTTTTTAATGTAATGGTTTGGTTTTTGGTAATGAGTCATAAAAATTCTTTATATATTTTAGATATTTACTCCTTATTGAATATATCATTTGCAAGTATCTTCCCCCATTCAGTAGGTTGTCTTTTTGTTTTGTTGATGGGTCCTTTTCTGGGCAAAAACTTTTTATTTTGATGTAGTCCCAATAGTTTAGTTTTGCTTTTGTTTCTCTTGCTTTAGGAGATGTATCTAGAAAAATGTCGCAATAGCTGATGTCAGTGAAATTACTGCCTATGCTCTTTCCTAGGATTTGTATGGTTTTAAGTCTCACATTTAGGTCTTAATCCATTTTGAGTTTATTTTTGTGTATGATGTTAGACAGTGGTCCAGTTTCATTCTCTTGCATATATTTTCCCAATTTTCTCAGCACCATTTATTATACATTCTTGCCTCTTTTGTTATAGATTAATTGACCATATAAATGTGATTTTGTTTCTGGGCCATCTGTTCTGTCCAGTTGATCTATATGTCTATTTTTGTGCCAGTACCATACCATTTTGATTACTACAGCTTTGTAATATAGCTTGAAATCTTTAATGAATCAATTTAGAATTAAGAAAAGCAAGACAACATACCATTCATAATGTCAACAATTTTTCTATTTAATTTGTTGAAATAGGGATTAGAAAAGCATTGATATCACTAATATGTTTTCCAAAACAATTAAATAAAGAAAATCTTTGTAAAGTTCTGGAAAAAACAAAGTATTCTTTCAGTTTACATGATAGTTCCATCCTTATAAATTTCAGTGAATTTTAAATCTGTGTAAAAGAATTCTTTAGTTTATAAAACTGAAATTAGGTTCCACCTTACGATTACAAACAAGTCTTCCACGTACATGAATATAATACTGGACTTTCAAAAGTTTTGCAGAATGTAATAGACTTCGTTATTGTGCAAGACTGGTCCATTCATTGTAAGACATTTGCCATTCCTAAATTCCTTCCCACGAAATGCCACTAGCAATCTGCAAATCATCTGGACAAGCAACACTTCATATAAATTTCTGTAACATCTCTAACGGAACAGTATTTTTCTCATTGAAAACCATTGGCTTAGGAGTCTGTGTGCATTTGCTATGGGTAAACTCTTTTTTCCAAGTCACAATTACCATTTCGATTGGAAATGTGTTTCCTTTACCAGCATGTCTTGTTCACAGGCTAATCTGATGCCTTCAAAATCAACCAAACATTTCAACAGCATGGTAATATATGCATATGACCTGTACAACATGAAGTCTATTTACAGAAGTGGAACTTGGAACATTTGGGTTTGACCTAAGAAACTTATTATGACATTGTATCAAGTTGAACATTCTTATGCCATAGAATAGTTGTGTAATAAATGGAAACTTAATCCTTGAAAAGTATAAAATGGTCTTGGGAACCAGATACACAAAAGAAGCTTTAGCAAATTTCTTTATTGAATAATGTAATAGTTCTGGAGTTCATGCAGTGGACTGAGCTCTCTTACAACAGCTTATTTATGGCCTAGAAACTACTCCTCTTAAATTGGGTATGAGCTTCAAATTATGCCAGCTTTTTGTTGATTTTGGAGTAGTTTAAAAATATGAGAATGTTTTTACCATTTAATTTACTACTCAAATGGTATTATCCAGTCCCATGTGTTCAAAGAAACCCCTGCAGTTAGTGACTCCCAAATCTTTATTTCCAGGATTAACCTCTACCTAGAGCTCCAGACTTGTATAGCCAATGGCCTACAACATATTTACTCGAATATTTACAGTGTATCTCAAATGTGTCATGTTGAAAATTGAACTTGTGATTTTTCTCACAACTCTTGTTCCCCTGGCATTTCTTATCTCAGTAAATGACACCACCATCTAGTTGTTTAGATCAGAAACACTTGGGGTCTTTCTTTTCTTTTTCTCTCATGCCTATATTCAGTACTTTTGATAGTCCTGTAAGTTCTGTTTTTATACTATAAACCTAACTGCTTAGCACCACCTCCACCTGAGCCACCTGAGTCAAAGCCTATATTATTTATGTGAGAAGCTGCAATACAATTATAGTTTATTATAGTATCTATATACCATTATAGCGTGCTCACTGTTTTTTTTTTTAAATATTTTATTTATTTGACAGCGAGAGACAGCAAGAGAAGGAACACAAGCAGGGGGAGTAGGAGAGGGAGAACAGGCTTCCCATAGAGCACGGACCCCGATGTGGGGCTGGATCCCAGGACCCAGGGATCATGAACTGAGCCCAAGACAGACGCTTAATGACTGAGCCACCCAGGCGCCCCATATTCACTGTTAAACATTTCAAGTCAGTTGCTTACTTAAAATTTTCTGATGAATTCCCATTACATTTCAAACAAAATCCAAAGTTTTTATCATAACCTATAAACCAGTCTTCTGGATATCTGGATATCTTTCTGACCTCATTTCCTATCATCTCTTCCTCATTCATTCCACTCTGGCTGCAGGGCCTTCTTGCTGTCAGAGAACACAGCAAGCATGCTTCTGCCTTAGGGCATTTTTATGTGCTGTTCCCTGAGCCTGGAAAGTATCTGCCCTCCTTCCACATTAATAGGACTTTCTCTCTACGGTTGGATCTCTATTCAAATGCCACCCTTCAAGGAGGCCCAATCAACTATCCTGTCTAAAATAGCACTTCTCACCACTCTTCTCATACCTGTCTTCATTTTTCATAGTATTTATCCCTACTTGGCATCATATTATATATTTCTTTGTTTACTCTCTGTCTCCCCACTGGAATGTAAGTTCCATTGCTATAAGCACATCATTGAATTATAAACAGAACCAATGATGAGTTACTCATATACTATTTAATATTTTGACTGAATTTTAAGTACAAAATTGCATAACATTTTTACACTCTTCAAAATGATTTAGGCTGATCTTCTAAACCACATTTTTTTCTCATTATCTGATGTAATTAAATCAGTGGGAGTAACAAAGGAAGGTGGTGTTGGTGTGTGAAAGAAGACTAAAAAAGATGCCAGGTGATAAAACTATGCTGAAGATTGATGGTGTATGTTTTCTTTACAAGCAGTATTAATTTTTGGAATTACTAATGATATGACTAAATTATAGGATAAGCAATCTAGTTATTAGTGACAAAATGGTGGCTAAATGGTTCACCCATGGTGTTATATTTTGCATGATATTTATGTTATCCAGAAGTAAATACAATGAATATGAAAATATAAAATACTTAATTACTACAGTTTTAATTTTTTTTTTATTTTAGGAAATGATTTACAGCTGAGTGAATCAGGAAGTGACAGTGATGATTGAAGAAACATTCAGCTATAAATATAAAATTTGTAAGATGTGATATTTATTTTATATTAAGAATAAAGATTCCTAATACTGAAGAAAATGTATCTTAACATTTGATGATAAAAGAAATTAAATTTGGTTGATGTTATATTTTTTACCTTTTTTAAGTATTAGCATTTTCATGTGTTTTCTGTTTATTAGGCTGTACAGATGAGAAAACAGACATTAGGTAACTTGCCCACAGGTTGTTAGTTAACAAGTGGCAGATCAAGTGTTCTAGAGTACAAGTTTAATACTCTGTTTTAAAATACTGATGTCTCACAATTGTGAAATGTCAAAACAATTGATTTATAATAAATGCCCATGGTTTTAATTATATCTCTGAGCCTTTTATATCTGATAGTCCTTAAAGTTTGGTTGAGAATACTTTAATTCTTGACAAAATTAAGCTATAATTTAGGGTAAAAGTAAAGCTAGATAATCGTTTTAATGAAAAAACTGTTCTTGTATATCTTATAATATTTTTTGTCATTTTAATATTTTGCTTTTGAGAAAAAATAAGCAATTAATTGTGTTAAGTAGATAATTAATATTTATATCTATAGTATTTTTGAATATGGAGAAAATGATAAATATTAGATTATAGTTGAGAGCCACTGACCAGCAGCAAGTTCTTTTTTCCTTTTTTACGTTCTCTTTTTCTTTTTAATAAACTGCATTTTCTAAAGCAGTTTTTGGTTCATAGCAAAATTGAGCAGAAAGTACAGAAAATTCTCATATACTCCCTGTTCCCCTCCTCTTACAACCTCACCCGCTATAAACATCTGCACCAGAGTGGTACATTTTTACAATTGATGAATCTTATGTTGACACGTCATCACCTAAGTCCATATTTGCATTAGAGTTCGCTCTTTGTATTATACAATTTGTGGGTTTTGACATATATATAATGATATGTATCCACCTCTGTAATATCATACAGAATAGTTTCACAGCCCTGAAAATCCTTTGTTTTGCTTATTCATTTATTCCTCCTTCCCCACCCCCAACCACTGGCAGCCACTGATCTTTTACTGTCTCCTTGGTTTTGTCTTTTATAGCATGTCATATAGTTAGAATCATACTGTACGCTGCCTTTTCAGGCTGAATTCTTTAACTTAAATATGCATTTAAGCTTCCTCCATGTCTTTACATGGCTTCATAGCTCATTCCATTTTGTCACTGAATAGCATTACATTGTCTGGATGTACCAAAGTTTACTTATTCTCTAACCTGCTGAAAGAATTTTGGCTGTTTCCAAGTTTCGACAGTTGAAGTTCAATAAAAAATTTTGTCATAATTGCCTTTACCATAGGAATTTCTGTGTTTTTTTTAAAATTCTTTAAATTTTGGTTTTAATCTCTCTTACTTTCTTCTCTCTCCCTTCCTCTCTTTGGCCTACCTTAGCTAATCTATTTTTAACTTCATTTTTATATCTATTTTATTCATCAACCATTATCTGAGAACCATAGCTATGTCATTTATTACTTAACTAAAACAAGCTCAAATATTTAATGTAGCTAATAAAACATGCTTATCATTTTGACATAGTAATACAAATTATAATGGTTTTTACTGAAACTTATTATGCTAAGATTTCTTTGATTAGTGATTACTGTACCAGGAATGAGTACATGGTGGTCTGAGTTGATAATGCCAACTACATAACATTATATTCTCAAACTATACCTTTTGCAGTCAGAACACCTCCTCCTTTCTCCCCCTTAATATTTCCCCCATAAATGAAACATGTTCTTAAAGACATGTTTTTTATGGTCTGAATACCCAGAGTATCATTCTCTATACCCTTTAAGGATAGATATAAGTGGTTTAGAGAGGAATGAAATAATATTTTCCATGCCTCTGTACCTCCTCGTTTGCTGTTTTTTCAGACACTGAAATGCAGGGAGCTATGGATGAAACAGATTACCAGATAGGAGGTTCTCTGCCAGAATCATCTGATGATCCTGACATGATGCCAAGCAGTTATCTTTTTCCCCAACTTTATTGAAATGTAATTGACATATGACACTGTATAAGTTTAAGGTGTACAGTGTGATGATTTGATCCATATATTTATTATGAAATGATTACTATAATAAGGTTAGTTGGCATAAGCACAATATCATTTTATTTTGCCTGTTCTGAATGGTTTGATGAAAATGAAGATGATATATGCTTGCAAGTAGGAAAAGTAAGTTGGCTACAAAGGAACAAAAATCAATGGGTTTGAATCATTGCATGACACTGCACTAAAGCACTAAAGCTAGGAAAGCTGCATTTGCACAAGGATATGAGTGCGACCTATAGTGTATACGTTAACAGTCATCCATAGTTTGGTAAGAAGACATTCTTAGACATGTCAGAATTCAGGAATTATATCTTTCACATGCCATTCCTGTAATAATTACTTCAGTAATTTCCAGTTTAGTAAGAGATGAGTCAAAATTAAGAACTCAAGAATGGAAAAAATATCATAAAAAGTGTGTTCTAGAAATGTTGATAGCTCTCCTACCCTACCTTCATGAAGGAGTCTCACTCAATTTGTAAGAGTAGGTGACATTCATGCCCTGCAACATTTTACATGGAAGTGACCTCTCAGATGCTGGCCAGTGGAGAAGAGGCAAGAGCTTAGCCCTAGCAGCCTGGGGTTGCAATCCTTACTGGGGAGATGACATTCTAACTAAGGCTGTGCATATGCACAGCAGGGATCAGAGATGCCCCAAGTTATTCATACATTCCTAACTAACCCTGAGGCTATGTGCTTGTGCGCAGGACACTGAAAAAGGGCCTGATAAAAAGTAAAATCTGGGAAGACTTGGAAATAGCCTGAACTTTGAACTCACTCCCCTACACACACAGTTCCATCAGCAAAAGACAAAGCCTTTGTGGTTCAAGGTGTTTAACCAGGACCTTTGCCCAGTCTTTGACTGCTCCAAGTAATACATACTGCTTCACTTCCACTTTTAAATCTCATTCAAGTTTTTCTGGCCTAGACCCAACCAGAGAAGATGATTCTTAGAAACACTTCCTAGCTTAAACCAAGTTGACAATAAAAAACCCTAAAACTGGAAACAACCCAAATGTCCATCAGCAAAAGAATGGGGAAATAAATTGTGTCATATTAGAATAGTGAATGCTACTGAACAACAGGAAAAAGAAATCTTGTTACAGACAACAAAATGGTTGAGTCTTACAGACATGGTGTTGAGCAAAAAAAAATCAAACACAAGGAATATAAACAGTATTATTCCATTTATATGAAATTCAAAACAAACAAATCTGTGGTGATAGAAGTCAGAAAAGTGATTACCTTGGAGGAGGACAGTTTGGGAGACAGAGGGAAGCAGCAAGTATTATTCTCTGAAGAATTTCAGCACAGAGGTACTAGAAATACATTTTTTTTTTTTTAAATCTTATCTGGGTGATGGTTGTATGTTACACAAATACAAAAAAAATGGAGTTTTACACTTAAGATTTGTGCATATTAAGTTATATTTAATTTTAAAAGTCCAAATACAAGGTCAATAGAAAACAATATTTGCAATGCAGACAATGACAGCATTAATATCAATAATACAGATTTTGTAAACTGACAAGAAGGGAAGAACCAACTCACTAAGAAAATGAGCAAAGGAAATGAATAAGCAGTTCTAAAAATTATAAAGACATATTTTGTCTTAGCAATCTCACTTCTAGGTATTTATCCATCAGATATATTTGACTTATATACAAAGTTATTATGATAGTGTCATTTATAATAGGAAACTAAACAACCTGGACATGCATCTTTTTGGTACTGATTTTTTGGAGTTATTTATGTAGTCTGGACACAAACCTTTTGACAGATATATGAATATTTTGTCCCACTCTGTAAGTTGTCTTTTCACTCTTAACATGTATTTTGGTGAACAAAAGTTCTTAATTTTGTAATATTATAAATTTATAATAATTTTATAATCAAAATCCAATATCCAATGTAGTCCAAAATATCAATTGTTTTTCTTTTATGGTAATCATATTTTATGTCTTATTTGAAAAATCTTAGAATATGTATGTACAGGGAACATAAAGATGTTTTTCTCTAAAAGCTTTATTTTTAAAAAAACAGATCACAATCTATATAGAATTATTTTTTACATATGGTATAAGATAAGGGCCAAAATTATGTTTTCCATGTGGATATACAGATGGTGTTTATTTAATGAAAGCACCGTTACTTACCCCACTGCACTGCAGAGTCAACTTTGCCATTAATGATACCTCGGCATGTGTGTATGTCTCTGATGTCCGTTTTGTTCCATTTGTTGCCTTATTGTTGTGTTGATTCCACTCTGTTATAATTACAACAATTTTTTTTAAAGATTTTATTTATTTATTTGACAGAGATCACAAGTAGGCAGAGAGGCAAGCAGAGAGAGAGAGAGAGGAGGAAGCAGGCTCCCTGCTGAGCAGAGATCCCAATATGGGACTCGATCCCAGGATCCTGAGATCATGACCTGAGCCCAAGGCAGAGGCTTAACCCACTGAGCCACCCAGGCGCCCCTATTACAATAGTTTTATAATAAGTCTTATACTGAGTAGTCCTTCACTATTGTTCTTCAAGATTACCTTTGCTATTCTTGGCTTATGCATCCCCATATGAATTTTAAAAATCATCTTGTCATTTTCTACACTCACAAAACCTATGGGAGTTTGTATTAAAACAGCAGGTTGATTTGGAAGATTTACAACTTTATAATACAAAATTTCTAAATCATGAGCATGATATGTCTCTTCATTTATTTAGATCTTTAATTTTTTTCAATAATATTTTATAGTGTTTAATGTTGAGGTCTTGGCTATCTTTTATTAGATTTATTCCTAGGTATTTTTATGCAGTTATAGCTGGTATCACTTTTAAAATTCCCTTTTCTTTTTGTTTTTGGTCATATTTAAGTACAACTTGTTTTTGCATGCTGATTCTTTTTTTTTTTTTTTTAAGATTGTATATATTTATTTGAGAGAGAGAGCACAAGCGGGTGGAGGGGCAGAGGGAGAAGGAGAAACAGACTCCCCAGTGAGCAGGGAGCGCGATGCAGGGCTCGATTCCAGGACTCTGGGATCAAGACCTGAGCCAAAGGCAGATGCTTAACTGACTGAGCTACCCAGGTGCCCCTTGTGTGCTGATTCTATATTCATATACCTTATTAAACATGTTTTCTTTTAATTTCTTATTTCTCTTCTCTCTGACTATATTAGTATCTATCATTTTAGAGCCTTAGTCTCCTTTCTGAATATGAGTGTAAAGTATCAATCTGCTGATACACTCACTGAGGCCATAAATATTTCTTACTCTTATTACTGATATTTTAGATTCTTCCACTTTTATTACCCCTTTTGTCTCTGAAGCGTTTGTGCTAATTTCTGTCTAGGAGTTGCTTTTCTCTTTGATTTCTTCCTTTTATTCTTCTGTCTGATTTCAGCTTAGCAAAAATGATAGCGTGTAAGAGACATCTTGATGTATGATTGAGCTCTAGAATAGGCCATGGCAGGTTAGAGTTCTAGTCCTTGCTCTGCCCCTTCTGAGCTTTGAGCTTTCCTGTAGTATTCTGTAAGCTAGACTAGGAGAGGGATTTCAAACCAGTGCTCCCTAAATTCCTGTCATAAGAATCACTAGAGGTGCTTCTTAAAAACAGAGGTTCTTGGATCCCTACTTAAATCTATTGAATAAGTATTTTCAAGAAAAAGGCCTGCAAATCTGTGTATGTATATGTGTATGTACACGTGTGTGTGTATATGCCTACATTCATACATATGTGTGTGTGTGTGTGTGTGTGTGTGTGTATATGAATTGTTCTGGAATATATAAAAACATATATATAAATTAATAGATATATATATGTGAATGAATTACCCTATATCACTCTCACCATCAGGGAAGTTTAGTTTACATAGGACAAGATTAAGATTCCCTCCATCTCTGATATTATTTGATTCTATGAATGCTAGCATTATACTGCCATAATCAAAAGGAGAATTTCATCTAAAAGAGTACCAGAGAACCAATTCCAATACTCTAAAGTTTGGTATTAGGGGTACCTTTTAGCGCAAAGGAATTGGTGCAATGCCTCTACAGGTGCATTGTATCTACAGGTTCTCTGCCAGGTCAAATGCTATTCTAGAAGTATAGGCCCGAGCAGGGGGAACCATTGATATAATTAGATCTTCAAGGCATCTTGAGGTTAATTTGATTAGTAAATCATGACTATTTATTTGTTTTGCATTTAAAGTTTTAACCACACTAAGTCA